TGCCACGGGGGCTGGCTGAGTGCCCTTCCCGGCTGTGCCCAGGCCCATCAGGGGGCCAGGGTATGGAACATTGGTGTTATCTCTGCCTCCTCCCTCCTGGGTTCACATCCACAGCAATATGAGGTCCACCAAGAACTCCTAACCTTTCTCTTCTTGAAGAATACAACTTTTGCCACAAGTGCCCTGGCCAGGGCTTTGTCTATTCCCCCAGCTTTGTCTATTCCACAACTGATCCCATTAGAAGTTTCTGGGTCCTCTAATGCTTTGTCATAACCATTCCCTGAAAAGAGAGAGAAAGGAAGGTGAGCTTCAAGGATGGGGAGGGAGTCTGAATAATTCCATCTATTCCTCCCACATATATCTATTGAGCCCCTCGCATACCAGGAGCTAGCTGTCACAGCCGGACCTGTGATTCCCCCTCTCCCTGAAGCTCGGTCTGGGGGATAGACATGTAGATGGCAGTCATCCTTGAGAGAGTGCTATTCCCTTGAGATAGATGCTTTTCAAAACCTGAGGAGAGTGGGTCCCATTAAAGAAATTCTCAGGACTTGTGATGGTGACCCTTCTGCCCTTTGCTCAGCTGAATACCTTAAACAAAACAAAACAAAACTTAGAGTATACCAAGGAGAGAATGTGAGTACGGAGATGAGAAGGGAAAGAAAATCAGTGATGTGGCTGGATGCCAGGGTGCTAAATAGGATGAAGTGCCAAGATAAAGGTGCCATTACAGAGGAGCCAAAATGATTTCCAAGAACAGGGATGTCTAATATTCAATTTGAGCATGTTGGGTTTGTGCAAAGTAAACTCTCTCCAACTCCCCAAGCCTTCAGCACAATTTGTTACTAACATAAAGACCTGCTATGAAAAAGGGAATTCTCGGGGCACCTGGGTAGCTCAGTCAGTTGAGATCCTGACTTCAGCACAGGTCATGATCTCACAGTTTGTGGGTTTGAACCCCATGTCGGGCTCTGTGCTGACAGCTCAAAGCCTGGAGCCTGCTTGGATTCTGTGTCTCCCTCTTTCTGCCCCTCCCCTGCTCATGCTCTGTCTCTCTCTCTCTCAAAAATAAATAAACATTAAAATTAAAAAAAAAAGAAAAAGGGAATTCTCAAAGAAAAAGAAAAAGGGATTTCTCTCCCTTTCTTTTTCTTCCTTCTTCCTTCCTCCCCCCCTTCTCCCTTCCTTCTCTTCTTCCCTTCCTTCCTTCCTTCCTTCCTCTCTCTCTGTTTCTTTCTCTTTTCCTTCCTTCCTTTCTTTCTCCCTCTCTTACTCCCTTTCTTTCTTTTCCTTCCTCCCTTTCTTCCTTCTTTCCCTCCTTCCTTCCTCCTTCCCTCCCTTCCTTCCTCTCTTTCTTTCTCTTTCTTCCTTCCTTCCTTCATTCCCTCCCTCCCTCCTTCCTTCCTTCCTTGCTTCCTTCCTTCCTTTCTGCCTTCCTTCCCTCCTCCCTTCCTTCCTCTCTCTGTTTTCTTTTTTCTTTCCTTTCCTTTTCTCTCCCTCTCTCTTTCTTTTCTTTCTTTTCCTTCCTTCCTTCCTTCCTTCCTTCCTTCCTTCCTTCCTTCCTTCTTCCTTTCCTCCCTACCTTCCATCATCTGAATCTAAGACTCTTTTAGGAACACCAGAAGAGAATTGCAGAATGCTAGAGCTGGAGAAGAAGTTAAGGATCAAATCATCTCATGCCAACACCCCTGTGATATTGAGAGAAACTGAGGCAGGGTGGTAATGGATCTTGCTCTGAGTCTCAGAGCAACCTGGGGCTCTTGACACCCAGGCTTCCCACCACACTTCCCCGATCTGGTCGCGTGCATCTGGTCTCCATAGAACACAAGGTCTGGCCCCGGCTGGCTCCTCCCTGCGTCCCTAGCTTGGTGCTAGATGGGCTCAAAGAGGTCACTAAGCAAGAGCCCCAAACTTCAGTTTCTCAGATCCTCCCTAACCAGGATACTCTCTGATCAGGCCTCACCCACCTTCCCAGTCTCATCTGGTACTCTAAGCTCCAGCCACACTGAATTCCTTCCAGCTTTTCTTAAACACTTGATCTCCTGCCACCAGGCCTTTGCACAAGCTGTTACCTCTACCTGGAGTACCCCACCTGGCTAACCCCTTCTCATCCTTCAGGTCTCACTATAGGGATACAGGGCTGAATTTATGGGCAGATGGCCTTAGGGGCTTTTTAAGGCTATATGGCACTACAGAGGCCCCATGCTTAATTTTATACTGCTGCTGTGTTGAAATTCTAAATAATTTTTTAATAAGAAGCCCTGTATTTTCATTTTTCACTAGGCCCCAACAAGTGATGTAGCCAGTCCTGTAAAGGTGTTTTGTTCTGGTAAAATGTCCCAATTCCAACTTTCCTTTGATTGATTGTATTTGTAGTCTCCTCCACTAATTAGGCTTCAAGTTCCATGATGACAGGAACCATTTGGTAGGTTCCAGCTCCCCCTTTCCTAACAGTCCTCAGTGTCTCTTTGGGAATCCATTTTATACAGATGGCCCTGATAGCTCCCTTGAGGCTAGAGATGAAACAGGTGACTTAGGTTAATCCAATCAGATCAGGCCATCCTCATGCCCCAGAGGTGGGCATGTGACCAACATGGTCCCATAAGAGGGCACCCTCTTTGCCAGGATTGCTGTCACAGAGACGCTCCCTCTTCTCTGCTGGACATCAATGAAAAGCATGGAAGTTGGAGCAACTGCCAGGGATCTTGGAACTACAAGAGGATTTAGGCTTAGGAGGAGGCTGACACTATGGAGGAAAGAGAGGAGAGACAGAAAGGACGTGGTGCTAGATTAAGCCTCATCTGAAGTTTTCCTCTGATTTTTCAGTTCTGTAAGCCAATGCAGTACCATTGTTACCTAAGCCACTTTGAGTCAGAATTCCACTTTTTTGCATCTGGCTGCTTCCTACATGATACTATATGCATACATCTCGCTCATTATAATATTCCTGGCAACTACCACACCCTGGCATAAAAAAGATCCTCAGTAATCATTTGATGAAAGAATAAACAAACATATGAATGAAATAGACGCAAGTCCTCTGGCAGAGAGACCAGGGATACTACTTTACACGCGAGACTGTTCCAGGAGCCCTTTTGCAGAGTTTCTTCTACTGGTCGCCCTGATCCTGCATACCTCCAGAGACCTCTACAGGTTCCCCTCTTTCCTGGCTGGGCCCAAATCTCTAGGACAGCCCAGAGCTTAGTCACTTTCTGTTTATCCCCTGGCAGATAGGCATGCTGCAGTTTCTCTCTGCAGTTAAGTGTCTCTGGAGTTAGAAGCTAAGGGGTGAATGGCTTCACCAGTCACAGCATGTGACTCTTTATCTTGGGGTTGTGAGTTGAAGCCCCATGTTGGGCATAGAGCTTACTTAAAAAATAAATAAATAAAGTTTGTTAAAAAAAAAAAAAAAAAAAGGGAAGAAGTTGCACCCTGAGACTGGGAACCCAGGCCTGGATTGGCTGTTGCCTTATCCAGTAGATTTGCGCCATTCACTTGGATTTGAGTCATATTGCAATGTATTAGGAGCTAGCTTTTATAACTAGACTCAGCCTCCTGCTGCATAGAATGGCAGTGAGGATGAGGACCTATTGACTCCAAAGGGTGAGATGACCCTCACTGTCTGGTTGTCTGGGATTCTAAACTCCTGTGAGACAGAGAAGCAGCTCTAGTAGTTGGAAATGGGGAGTTTTAGTCAATCCTGCTGTTCTCTTATTCAGTAAGTGTCTGTCAACAGCTCCTGGGTACCCGGCCCAGTCACTGGGACTCTCCATCACATTCTTTAAACTTCCTGCTTCCTGACCCCTTGCTCTGAAAATCTGGGTTGTGGCCTCAAAACCTAAAGGCTTCCTAACCCTACATCCGGGCCAACGACACATCCTGTGACCCCCATCTCTTCATCCCCTGTCTCTGCACTTCCCCCCTCCCCCCACTTCCAGCCTGTCAGGTATCGTTTGCCTTTTGTTTCCCTCGCCCACAGATATGTGGCTTCTGGTAACCGGTGAGTAGCAGTGTATTTGAGTATGAGTATTAGGTAAGTGTGTGTTCAAGAGTGAGTGCACCTGAAGGTGTCAACAAGTTCTTGAGCGTGCATGACTCTGAGAGTGTGTGTACGTGTAAGGACATGGAGTATAGACGTGTGTGTCTGTTTGATTATGGGCATACGTGAGTGCACATAAGTGTATCTAAGTGTGTTTGGGCATCTGAGTATGTGGGTGTAAATCAGTGTCAGAGTATGAGTGTGCATGCATGGTATAGATGGGTTGAGTATGGAGTGTGTGCGTGTGGGGGCAGTCAGTGAGTGCATGAGAGTGTAAATTTGTTTGGGGGAGCATAAACACACTCGCACCATCTTCATCTGTCACAGCAGACACACCTTCATGTGTATGTGGGCACATGGGTGCATCTAAGGAACAAAAGTGGCTCAAAGCTATACACCCTTTGTCGGATAAAGGGAAGACTTTGTCCACAGGCCAGGGTCACTCTCTCCTTTCCATCCCAGACATGGAACTAAGGATCTACTGGGAAAGAGCTCCCTGTAACCAGCAGACAGCCTCCCTGCTTAAGCCAGGCCACCTCCCCCCTCCCTCAGCCCATTTCCGGCCAGGCCCTGGCAGTGACCCTGAGCAGAGAGGCAAAGGATGAGGGCAGTGAGCAGGACGTTCCAGGTGCCTCCTTGGCTTTGGGGGGCATCTCCGTGGAGACAAGAGGTGGACCATATCCAGATGATTATCAGAGCTCCCAGAGTTCTCTCTCCCCTCACCCAGCCTCTCCCAGGCACACCTTCTTGGCTCTGAGAGCAGTGAGGAAGCTGGCAAAGGCCCACCACTTGTCACAGAGGTTTCCAGAAAAAATCAGAGGCTGGAGGATAGTGGGAATACACCAGAATGACTTCTCAGAGCAAGAGATTGGAAAAGCTGGTCAAAGTGATTAAATCTGGTTTCAGGCTTTGTCCCCAGAGAGCTCTAGGTATGGGAAAGGTAACACTTACCTCTTCTCCACAGCACACATTACCTCACTCTGAAATGAAGGCATGGCCAAGGTGGTCAAGGGAAGGGACCCTGAAAGGGATCAGGTGAGTCAGTTTTCAGCCTGCTCATAACCTCATCCCACTGGCAACCTTGGCTTTTCATAAGACCTCCCCATTTGTGTCCCCCCACCCCACCGCCCACCTCTGGCCTCCTGTGCTTTGACCATATGCAAGGATCTTTTCCCTATTCCCAAAGCTGCTGGAACTCCCAGGGTGCTGGTAAGAGCTGGAAAAGGCTGCCAGGGTCACGCTAATTGTCCTAGTCTGCCCCATTCTTGAAGAGCTGAAGCTAGATGGTAGTGAGACTTGAGGAAGGACTTTCTGATAAGGCAGTGAGACAAGATTAGGAAACGCAAATTGGGATTTTTGCCTCTGCCTTCAACCTCTCTCCCCTCACCCCATACACACTACCCTCTCAACCCCTAATTCATCACTATGACCATTCTCAAACCCTCCCAGCTCCTTGAAATCCCACGAGATGGTGGAGTAGCCACTTCTTTCTTTCTCAGGAGCCTGAGTTTTCTGGAGAAGAGCCAGGGTGGGAAGGGAGCTCTGGCTTTCATCTCCCCTCACCCTAGTCTTCTCAGGGAAGCCTGGGTCCATGTGAGTCAGAAGTACTGGGACTAGACTCCCAGGCTGACCAAGGCCCCACAGAAGCTGCAAGCAGCCTGGAGCTGGAGGAGATGGCCTTGCAGAGTCATCCAAGCCTGGTTTGGCTTCATATTTTCCCTCCCAATAGTACACAGGGAGCTCACAAGGGAGTATGGCAATAACAGTAATAATAACATTATTCTATATTTTGTATCATTTACTGCAGCATCTGGCACCATTCTGTGTATCTGTTAACTCACTTAATCCTCACTTTGTGCAACCCAGTGAGGTACTGTTACTATGCCCATTTTACAGATGAAGAAACAAAAGAGCAGAAAGATGAAATCTGTCAGGGATCCAGCAGGAACAATATATCCTCAGAGGGCTTCACTAAAGTGGAGCTTGTGAAGGGACTACAGAGGCAGAGTCAGGGTCACAGGGACCAACAAGGGGTAGCCTGGGACTGACTAACAGCAGGCAGCAGAAGAGAGCAGTGTTACTGGGATGCAGTGAAAGCCCTGGGAAAGGCATGAGTACCCTGGCCTTCCATCCCACCCCATCCCCACCCTCTGATTTCCTGCCTGTGCCTCCTGCTTGCCAAAGCCAAGGCAAGACAGGGGCAAGAGGGCTCAGGTGATGCAGCCCATAGATATTAGCCTCCTGAGGCACAGAGCAGGCCAGAGATTGGATCTGGAGAAAATGGAGACCTCCTCCATATGCCTAAGGCCCCGTGTGGGAACGGCTGGTTGTCTGGACCCAGAGCCTTGCTCCCTGAGATGTGGCAAAGTGCTGTCTGGAAAGGGGTTGCAGGGAGCTAGGTTGGGGACAGGAGACTGGGTTGTAATGCAGACTGTGCTGCATTGTTCTGTGGTCCTGAGTGAGACTCTGAGTCTCAGTTTCCCCTTTACACAAAGAGAAGATAGGTGCCACTCTGGGAAAGCCAAGGTGCCCAGACCAGAAAGAGCTTCTGTTCCCACTGCCACTCTCTCCCTTATTCAAAGAAACCTGGCATCAAAGACAGAGGCCCCAGGCATGGAGATGCTGAGTCCCTGAGGAGGCCACCCCCACTTGCTGCCCACTTAGGACTCAGAGATATTTTGTGATGAGCCCCCTTCAGTCTCCTTGAGGGCCCCAGTGCCTTAGTCTCTGCTCCCTTTGTCAGTATTCCCTGGCCCACAACACAGAAACCCATCTCAGGACAGGTTCCCTCCTCAGTGAGGAGGTGCAGGGCCCTGCCTAGGCCAGTATCTTCACAGACCCTTCCTGAGGAGATCAAGGGCATCTCTGGCCTCTGGGGTCTCTGTATGGGGTGGAGTAGTTCCTCCTCTCCCCTTCCCACCCCACCCAACTCTGCCCCACCCATGCTTCCCCAAGCCTAGGGGGAGCCCCACCCAGGTTTTCAGACAAACAAAATCAAGGGGAAAGAGTTAGCAAGAAGGAGGGAGCTCATTGCCAGGAATTAAGGAGGAGGCATGCCCTGGGGTAAGACGAGCCGATTGGGCTAGCAGGAGAGTCACTCTTAGGTACAAGCAGAGATGGACTCTGAGGTATACCAGATGTACAGTTAGAAATACACAAAGAAAGATCCAGCCACAAAGAGTTAGGCAGTGACAGAAACACAGAAAGGGACAGAGACCTGGTTGGCCAGAGGCACAGACCGACAGAGACATAAGACATACTGAAAGAGAAAGACAGCCACTCCCAGGAACACTGAGAAATGCACACTTGCATGTGTGCACACACTCAGAGGCAAGCACACAAGGAAACAGGAACCAAGCTCAGGTTTCAGGGAGGCTAATTTCAGTCCAAACAAGTCAAAACTTTGAAGAAACATGGGCTCCTCCAAAGTGAGCTGTGGAGCGGACTAGACTCAGGAAGGACAGAGCTGAGGTGTGGGATCTATCTACCCTCCCACATGGCACCTCCAAGCACACCCTGTAAAGTAGATTAAGATACTTCCCTAAAGGGAAAAAAAATAATTTAATTTAATTCAAAAATTAAAAAAAAAAAAAAAGATACTTACCTAAAGAAGATGAAAACATTTCTTTTTAGAACTTGCTATCAGCCACAGCTACTAATGAGAGGCATAGCCTGGACATGAGTGGGGAGGTAGGAAGCTTCCCTCCAGCCCCTGGAGGGGTCACATGCTGCTGCTTGGTTCGTGTCCCTACCAGACCCTGCCTTCATTCACTGCTCCTTGCCTGGCCAGGCCTGAACCTTTCTCAGGAGGTCTGACCCTCCATCCAACACGGTCCCTAGGCTGCCCACTCCTCTGCCCTCTACACCTGTACATGTAACCCTCTTGTGTTTCTCTTCTATCTCTCTCCAAAAGCCTCCTCAAGTCAGGTCACAGCAAGTCATCACCCCGACTCCTCCTCCCCCTCTTCAGGAAATTCAGAATCCATGGAAGGAATCTGAAGCGGAAGAGGATGTGGAATTCAATGACCTTAAAAAAAAAACAGCCTTCAGCACCTCTCCACAACCACCATCCCCTCCTCTCCAATTCTGCAGGAAAAAATCATAAGGTGACATTTATTGACTATTTACCATCTGCTGGTCACTATGCTAAGTCCTTTTCATGAATTATCTTCTACTACCTCTTCCTCTCAATATCTCCCAATTCACAAATGAGGAAACTGAGGTTCAGGGAAAGAAAAATGACCACCCCAAAGTCACACAGCTAGAAAGAGGCCAAGCTGGGCCTGGAATCCAGGCTTGACTTCTCTTTAACCACTGCACCAAAAGACCTCCCCCCAGCCCCTGGCTGACTGGTCAGGATCAGCTACAGAATTTGAGAGGAAGGGATGACAGAAGGCATTGGGCATGCTGGGGAGGACAGCAGGGTGGGGGCACCAGAGGTAGGACTGGTGTAGCTGGAATGAAACTCTGAAGTCACATTCCCCTCCCAAGTCTGGCCCTTCCTCCCCAGAGGGCCTGGGAAGGGGACACTCCCTCTGGCTCAGGTCTCTCCAACATTCCAGACACACCTCTTGGGAGCTGGGGACAAGGAGGGGTTGGAGACCTGAGAAGGACCAGCCTTCTACCCCCACCTCCCCAGAGTCCTGGCTGTGTGACCCTGCATTTGCCACCCACCCTCTCTGGGCCATGGTCTCCTCAACTATGAAGTGGCTGGGGAGCACCAGCTCAATCTCTAAAGACCACATGTCTCCTGTCAGACCCAGGGATCCTCTGGCTGCCCTGGGGTTAACTCTGCAGGAGGGCTAGGCTTGGGGCCCGCCTTCCCTTTTATTCCCAGTGAAACCTGAGGAGGATCTGGTGAGGCAGGGAAGTAGAAGGTGAGAAGTAGAAGGTGAGAAGGGGCACATGATTTCTTGACAGAGCTTCCTGGGCTCAGGTGTGCCAAGTCCATTGCCTCTCTGGGCAGTCAGGACACCAGCATCGGTCCAACCCCAGGCTTACAGACAATGGAGGTGTCTCAGACTGAAGAAGTGAGAAGAGCGGAGGGAGACAGGGATGAATGCAGTCCTGGATTCAGACAACTAACTGCAGAAGATGGTGGAAGGGTGGGGAAGAGCAGGGGTGACTTTCTAGAGAAGACACTTAGAGAAGACCAGGAGGATTTCAGTGAATGAGCACTTTGGAGCAAGGGTCCAAAGATAGGAAGGCGCAGAAGTACACAAAGTAGTCTGGGGTGATGCAGCACTGTGAGTGAGGGGAGCACTATGAGGGCATAGGAAGGGACTGTGGGCCAGGTCCTGGAGAAGCTGAGTGCAGGAGGGAGGGTTTGGGATTGTGTCTGAATTATCAGGCAGAGCCTTGGAACGAAGCCCTCTTTTAACAGTGGTGCCAGAAAGATCCCTGTGGTCCTGTATAGTCTGGCTGAGGCCAGCCTGGAGACAGGGAGCCTGCTAAGGGGGCTGTGGCCAAGGTCTGGGTGGAGGTAACAGAGCCTAAACAGCTGAGAGCTATAGAGGACTATACAGGTGACTAGTCTGATTGGCCTCCTCCAGCAACAGGGAGCTCACTACTTCTTGAATAGCAATCCTCCCCTTTGGGCAGCTCTGCCTGGGAGAAAGTTCTTTCCTAGGCCAGGTTCAAGCCTGCCTTCCTGGGATGATGTGTGGGTGCAGGGATCAGGAAGAAGATGCCACTCATTGTGTAGGAAGATGGAAGCTTGGGAGAAAGTGTGGGGCCACTGAGTTCAAGCTGAGAAGCTTGGTGAAGAGGCTCACTCACCTGTCTGTGGGACTTACTCTTGCCCCTCAAGCAGGGCCCGAGTACTGCCCCTAGGGTGCCCTGGCCCGGCTGGGCACCCTGGGTATTTGTGGTTGGACACAATGAAGCTCCTTAGCTGGCCCCAGGACAACAGCAGAGAAAACAGAGACAAATTTCCACAATTGGCAGTTTTAGGCACACATTTTATTGTTTTATATATATATATATAAAAGGCAAAAGAGTACATGTGTTGAGTGGAGAATTAAAGGGGTGAAGACCCTATTTTAAGTAGAGTCTCCCAACCCCCATCCTTAAAACTGTAACATCTACTATGTATATTTTTTAAAAAAACCAAAAAACATGAAACTTATACCTGGACTTCACCCCACCACCTCACATGCCTACATTATGACAGAAATACGTTCTCTGCTCCTACTTATGTACAGCCAGAGCTCCACACCTGGGCTGGGGTCTCCTCCTCCCGGTCCTACCTCCATATTCCCACCCTACCTCCCCCAAAGCCTGTAGAAACCCCCTGCTAGAGAAAGGGTGCACGCGCGTGCACACACACACACACACACGCACACACACACACACACACTCAGAAACACATATCTGGACCCTCCTCCACATGGAGCCCCCAAAACATGCAGACCCCTGGCACTTTCCTCACTCACAGAGGGGACATACCACAGATGGACCTTTCCCTAGGCTCCCCCCACAGCTAGAATCCTTTCCACTTGGTCCCTTGCCCTGATATCTAGGAAACCACACACACACACATACACACACACACACACACACACACTCAAACACCAGCTGCCTATTCTCACTTTTGGGGAGACAAAGAGATATGTTGGCCCTACTCCCTGTCCCAAAACAGCTTAAAGACAGTGTCCTAAGGTCCTGTTTGGGCAGGGTCCAGTGGGGAATCCTGAAGAAGGCCGTCCCACTGCGGGGGGGGAGTAGACGGAGTTTCTTAGTCCGGGAGGGGGACCACAAAGGCTTCCAGGGAGCAGCCCCTGCACAGTCTGTGGCTGCTCAAGAGAGGGTGGGGAGGTGGCCCCTGGCCACTCAGATCTGCTCCTTGTGCTTCACGTGGGCCAGCTTCACATTCTCCTGCTCAGTGGAGGGTGCAGGCTGCTCCAGGTGGCAGCCGATCATGAGCTGATACACAAAGACTCCCGCAATGGAGCCCAGAAGAGGAGAGACGATGGGCACCCACCACCAGTGTCGGCCAGTCCTAGGGACAGACACATGTGGTCAGGGGAGGGTGGGGCGGCAAAGGGGAGGCGGGCTGGGACAGGCTGGGTGGAGGGGGCTGCACTCACGTGAAGACTTCAGAGCCCCAGCCAGCAATGGCGGTGAAAAGGCGAGGGCCGAAGTCCCGGGCGGGATTGACAGCATAGCCAGAGTTGAAACCCATGGAAGTGCCGATAACGAGGACCACCAGGCCCACGGTGAAGGCCTCCAGGCCACGGGGGACAGGGTTGTTGTAGGGGTCAACAATGGCCAGCACACACACGATGAGGGATGCTGTGCCAATGAACTGGGGAATGGAGAGGACAGGATGAGGAGCTGCTCCTACCCTACCCTCTGGTCCCTCCTCTGTCCTTGGGCTCCTGGAGCCTTGACACTTCCCAAGTTCACTTCTCTCCAGCAGTGGTGCTGGCCCCTGGGGAACTAGCTGAAGATGAAGATTCCTAGGAATCTGCATGTTTTATAAGTACCTATCACCATGATTCTGGTGTCAGTGTCCCCACACATTGAGACAACCCTGCTATAAACAAGGAGTCCTGTCCCCCAGCCCCCCATGAGATACTCACAGCAGCTTGGTCCTCCTCTCTGTGTTCCCCTAATGAGTCCCCAGCTCATACCTGGTCGAAGAATCCATTGACCATGTCCAAGTGTCCAGAGGGGTAGGTAGCAAAGATGCCAGCTGTGCCATTGGGGCCCGAGACTACAAGCTCATTCTTAGCGAAGTCCCAGATTGCATCTGGTGAAAGATTAGACCCAGAGTGGGTGAGGGCAGAGGCTTACCCGGCTCTCCTGTCTCAGGTCAGGCCCACCCTTCTGGAGGATCGCAGGTGAGCAGCACATCACTGCTGTATTACTCAGAAGTCTATGGAAGGGTGGCAGGGGTGGGGGAGGGGGTTGGGCAGCGAGGATGGTGGATGGCCTGAGACTCTGTTGCCCAACTTGTTTCTTTCTTTCACCTTGTGCCCCCAACCTTGGTCCTGTGCAGTGAATGAGTGAGTCATAAGCTCGGGGCCTGGGCAGGCCCCAGCTGTCTGTCATCAAAAGGCCTGGTGCCAGGAGGTCCCAAGCAGAGAAAGGGAGGTAGTGGAGGATGGCAGGGTGGGGAATGCTCACCATAATACAGCCCAAAAACAATTCCAGCACCCAAGAAGGCTCCCAGTGTCTGAGCCAAGGCATAGATGGGCAGCTTGATCCAGGGCTCACGTGCCAAGAAACACATGGCAAAGGTCACAGCAGGGTTCAGGTGGGCCCCTGGGAAAAGAGGAGATGGGACCTATTAGTCACTGTAACCTCCCACAGTTGGGGATCCCAGGATCTCTAACCTCCATATTCCCCTTCTTTGGCCTTAGGGGGCAGGGGTGCAGAGAAGGGTTTCTTGTACCGGATGGTGAGTTGGACTATGTAACAGGCCAACACTGATAATCTGATTCCAAGGTGAGAGTCAGAGGTTCAAAGTGTCAAGTTCCTTCTCCACTCTCCACTTCAAAGGGCTCTAAGCTGAGGCCACGGCTATTCCCTGCCCTTGAGAATGGCCCCCACCACCTCATTCCCCAGTTGGGCACCCTGGGTAATGCCCTTGAAGGTAATGACTGAAGGTGGAGCAAGGCCTTACCAGAGACCTGGCCAGCAACAAGGATGCCCAGGGTGACAGCGAAGCCAAAGGCTAGGTTGATGGTGAGGAAACCACCGTGGGTGCCCCGGCTGAGCACCACCTGGGCCACGGAGCCACAGCCAAACATCTGTATCAGGAAATAGAACCAGGCAGGGAGAGTGAGGCCCAGCAACTCTCACTCCAGAAGGAAGGAGTAAATCCAGCAACCTCCACCTGCAGTCGTCAGAACGGGAAGCCATTCCTGGGGGGATCCAACCCAACCCCCTCCTGCTGCAACTGCACCCTGAAGAAGAAGCAGACATGCCCTCCCACCCACAATGCCCAAACTCTTAACAGGGCCCTATGGAAGGGACTGGAAGCAGAGTCAATGACAGGGAGCCCAGAAGATGGCTGGACCATCTTCTTTGATTT